CCAACTATTCATAATTTTAGTTCTAATTATCTTATTCATTTAATTTTTTGATTGTTTGTTTATTTATTTATTTATTTTTTATCGTGTATTAATATACTTAACATTGTGGGTTTCCTACTGTCTCTCTGACTCATTAGTACGAGTACTCGACGTCCCTTAGGAGGTCAAAGTCAGCATGGTCTCGTTTAGGGTTTGAATGAACAAATACATGAATTTTAAGTCATTTTTAGAATTAAGATCAGAAACATTACTGCGTTTCCCTGTTATAAACTCTTRCAAGCGGAATGCAAGTGGTCGAAAGATTATTAATCACGGCCTCGCCCATCACTGAAGTASCAAGATCGCCATACTTCGCATCAGAAAATTGGACTCTGGGACAAGAGGTTCAAATGTACCCTTTTGAGCCCGCGTCCTTACGGTCTCGCAACTCAATAACAAAACCACAAAGGTAAATGCGATATATCTCAAGGTCTTTTGAAGGTGGCTATTCGTAATTGACCATTGTAACACGTTTTTAACCAAATCATGTTTTAAGCATTTGAAGTAAAGCTGAACAACTAAAACGAGTAGACGCTAAAAACAACAAATGTACATGTCCTTGCAGTTAAAGTTAACTATGGTGTACTTWTATCAATGGATTATTCAGCTCTTTGTAAAGGCCGACATGTATCGTTTGAACGGTTTTATCGCTATCCTTGATTTTGAACCAATTACAGGTTTTTTTAAAGAGTTAACAAATTTTGAACCAAGTATAGAGGTTTTGAAACTGAGTTAATCAAGCTTTAAGAAACGCCTCTCTGGTCATTTTAAAAAAACAAACGACCGCAAAGGCTCTCGGACGCACGTGGGTCTTTAAGCGCCCAAATTCAAAAAGGTCCGTGGAAGAATGAGGAGAAATTTTTATATTCCTTTTTTTTTCATTTCTGCCTGCCTCAAAGAAGAAAAAAAGAAAAGGGTGGGCATTGCAATGGTAGTAAAATTGATGAATATGGCATATGCTCCCCTCAAAGTCTTTTAATTGGGTTGATTTGCTCTTGTTGAGTTRCAAACTCACACCTCATTGATGACAATGACAGAATATTATACTACTTTGACAAATGAAGAAAACCAAACAAGATTTGTTAGGTATATAGTTTGAAATGGCTATATTTTCAATTTTTCAAAGTTCCATTCATCCTATTTGTRAGATTGCTAAAATAACAATCTAACTGTATCTAACTAAATGTTGATAGATATAACTGTTACCTTATGCAATAATTCTTGCAAACTCCCTTCAAGAGATTATAACTGATAAAATCTGAGGYACACCGAGACTAACTACTGTTTTAAAATCCAAGACTGACAAYGACTATTCTTTGAGAATTTGAGACACAGGACTTTTAAGAAAGGTATGAAAATCAGAGATTGACTTAAAAGCAGAGACACTAAAAATGCATTCAAGATGAAAAATGGCATATGTTCTCCCCCTCCCCTCCTTCGCAGACCCGGGGGGGAGGGGGTGGGTACTCGACCCAATTTGGATAGGTACGTGCCGCCAGCGGTCTAAAACCYWKACYCTGTTTAAGACACTAGAAAGTAAAAATCCATACCCTGTTCAAGACAAATCGGAAAAATAAGGAATCGCTATTTACGCCAGAACCATCAAAACTGCAATTATACTGACATCCATCAAAGACAATAAGAATCCTGGGACAGTGAAACGGTATTTTTACTATTTCGACGGTATTTCTTATGAAAATATTACCCTGTCCAAGACACAAAAAAAATTATATTGGTCCTTTATCTAAATTGTACAGCCTGTTTAAGACAATTTCGGGTGAAATGTATACCCTGTTTAAGACAGCAAGGCCAAAAACCATACCCTGGCCAGCAGCACGTCCCCGTATAGCAAATATATGGGAGTACCCCTCCCCCCCTGATTCGCAGCCTATTCTTTAGTCTGGCTTCCTGTCACCAAGAAAGGGAGAAGAGAAACCAGAAGTTAAAGATGTTGGAGAGACCACTCAGATACATACTGAAGGTTTGATTTTGTCATAGGATTTTAGTAATTTCTTAGAATATTACTGTCTGTGGTTTTCAGTGCTGTGGTTTTCAGTGCTACACTAATCACTATCTCCGTCCAATCCTGATATTTCATCATCATCTCCACCCATTGCCTTCCAAAATGCCACAGCCACTTGCTCTGCATAAGATTTTCTTTCTTCATGAGGAAGGGTTGCAGCATGATCTTTCATGTCTTTGAGTTTCATAAAAAGATCTTCAAAAGACTCTTCTTCTGGTTCTTCTTGTCCAAGTCTTCGAAGCAACTCAGATTCATCWTYTGTGAGACCTGAGCACTTTTGTGAGCCTTCATCTGTTTTTGTTTCTTGACCATTTTCTTTACTAGGATTACTCTGTGCAGAATATTTCATTTCATCTTTTGACATTTCATTAGCCAATTTTTTGCCATGCACATTTTCATTTTTGATACCAGCTTTCAATTCAATATTTGGCCATTCTCCGCAGTTGAGTGCTTGTATAACTCTGGGAAATCCAGTCTGCTCACCAAATTCTCCTGCTTCTTGGTCTTCATCATCATTTGGGTTTAACTCAACGAGTTCAAAAGAGTACTTTAAGCACCATTCCAATACCTCTGTCTTTGATAACCCTTGGTTTGACATAGAAACTTCATCTTTCCCAGCATTCARTAGTAGCTGAACAGATGCTTCATGGGATTCGAGTATTTTCATACAGTCCGTTGCACTTTGCAAGGTTTCTTTCTTTTCTTGGTCGAATATAATGATAATGGCTTCAAAATGTAAGTGTGATGTCTCCTGGAGTAACAGCTTGATATCATATGTTCCTCCGTGGCAAAGATGAACTTTAACAACGAAGTATTTGTTTTTAATCACCCATGGATAGCAATCCAGATGTGGTGTCGTCTTTTCAGGGTYTGGAAGCTCGTCACYCGCGTTAATTCGCTTTATAGCTTCGAATGAAGTCAATAACGAGCTACAACTGACAACCAAAACTCGACCAACTTCGTCCGCCATCTTGGATGAAGGAGTTGCTAGAAGAACACAGGTAGCCCGCGGAATACGTGAAAAAGTTTTTTGCGACAAAAAATTTATCATATATAGAAGTTCAAGGGCTCATATTTTGCAAGCGACGCTCTTTTGGAAAAGCTTTTGATATCTTTTTAGAGGAATACCACCTTCGTGGTGGTTCCAGGGTTAGGAGAGGAACTGTAGAAGGTTATACCCCTCTCCCCTTGCTTTCCTTTGTTCTATCCAGTCAGGGCTATGAATGAAAATCTTAATTTTATTTCTCAAATTTGGATCTTTTAATGATAAGCTTAAATGGAAAAACAGACTCAAAACTAATAAAAGAGAGTAGATTTTACGACAGGGAGCCCAAAGGTTCGGCAATTCTTTATGTATAAAAATAGTATGTAACGCTAGTTACAAATCTTACTATGACCTATTCCAAGCAAATTCTAAACACTTATTTTCTATAATTTTGTGCAGCTTTTAGTTTTTCTAAACTTTTCCTTTATTTCCACGTCGGTATTTTGAGCTGGCACTGGGTACTAGACATGCGCATAAAGAGCTCTTGATGCAAATCAAGACTACGTGGCATAAAGAGTGCTATTTAGCTGGAAAGAAATTCCATTTGAGGCCACAAAAAAATAATAACCAAAAGGTTTCTTGGCTTAATTGTGTTACGGAAACCTACTTTTATATTCTAGCTGCTSTGACATCAATTTACAAGAAATATAATTGTATTTGTGAGGCACAAAAGCCATGATAAATCAAGGCCCTCCACCGCCAGGAGCCGGCTACAGGTAAGATGGCTGCTGTCTGGCTTCGATGTTATTTCTGCTTCGCGTGAAATTCTAACGTATTCGCWTTTCTTTCACAAATAGAAATCAACCATTCGATGTTAGTCTTAAAGGAGGACAACCTCAGCAAATGAGACCGCCGGGATCTTTTCCACAACAACAACAAAATCCCGCAAATAATATGACAAATGGACAAATGAACGGTGGATTTCCTTCTCAATTTCCTCCACAGCAAATGCAACAAAAGGTATTTGATTARAACTACAGTGGTAAACGATTCTCAAAAGGTTTATGTGATGAAAAAATATTACACATGTCTTTTGGATAGCTTAAATCCTCAGAAARCACTTTCTAAGTTCATACGATCAGGCCATATTAATATTCTGTCCTACATTTTTTATGATTATTTTTTTTTCGTGAAACGTAAAGATATATTTTGTATCATATCAATACCAAGCATAAGTTATAACGATTTTTGATGATATTACTTGGACTAAAAGCTGAATGTTTATATTTATATTGTTAAAATACAATTCATACAAAGGAATGAAATATCATTGTTCTACTGTATTCCTTGTACATATTTCGATGAGGATCTTTGAAAAAAACACGAAATTGAGTCTGATTGACAGCAACAACAAGCTATCACTTTAACAATTCACAGGCGGTTTTCCATTTTCTGTACTCTTATTGACAGTGAAATTGACGTCAAAAATGCTCAAAACTCAATTGGAACCACAAGCTCAATTTCATTGTCAATAAGAGTACAGGCAATGGAAAACTGCCTGCGAATTTTTTTTTTTTTACCATAAAAAAGCTGAAAACAGCATTTGCATTGCAACTGGAATCTTAGTTGTTATGTTAGCCAATGTAATCTTCTCTGATCAATTGAGTTTAGACATATGTACTTGTGAATGAAACAAGGCACTCTCTTGTTATTACGTGATCAGCATAGAAACTCTTACCACATGATAAGGTGTCTTGCAATATCTATATCTGAATGGACGGGTCACATTTCTCTGGCTAAATTTACCTGGGACCATTTGTATAAAGTTTAGATGAGTTTATCCAACACATGGAGCTATCTACTTGATAGGTTTTGAATGGCATTTATTTGGTGGATAGCGCTATCACCCTTTGTACAACTGGCCCCAGAGAGTTATCAATAACAGAAGATATTCTGTATGTATATTTTATATCAGTAATGAAATTCACTTTGAGTTTCTTTTTTTAAAAAAAGGGTAATCCCATGCAACATCCTCCAACTTCTCAATATCAGCAGCGCCCTGGTATGCCTCCCCAACAACCACCTACATCACAAAACCAACAAATGCAACGACCAGGAATGCCACCCACATCACAATTCCAACAACCACTAAGACCAGGAATGCCACCACAAAATCAACCAGGTATGCAACAACCCCCAACATCACAATTCCAACAGCATCGGCCTGGAATGCCACCACAACAAACAGGAATGCCACCAACATCCCAGTCGCAACAACGACCAGCTATGACACCAGTGTCACAACCACAACAACGACCTGGAATGCCACCAGTTTCACAACCACAACAACAACCATTGATGCCCCCAATGATGCAATCACAGCATCGACCTGGAATGCCTCCAGTCTCACAACAGCAACGTCCAGGTATGCCACCACAGCCTTCAATGTCTATGCAACAACAACGACCTGGTATGCCTCAACAACAACATCCAGGAATGCCTCCACAACAACCTCCAACATCACAACCTTACCAGTATGGAACAAGGCCGCCCATCTCACAGCAACCTCCAACAAGTCAGGTGAGTTCAGTTAGTTTTTGATAAGGTTAAAACCATTGACATAGGACTAGAATGCATAATAAGTATTAATGATTGCTATTAGTAGAGTATATTCAGTAACAGCTAAAGGTAAATTATTGTTCAAAATAGTCAGCTACTTGAGCAAATGAAACAAAAGTATTAGCATTAACTTATTCATACAAAATAGTAGTGCTAGTATTTGATTACCAACATGAAAACTATAGTCATTTTTATTTCTGGACAGATGCARAATCTAAGTATGAACGCTCCTCCATCATCACAACCACCAATGGGATGGCYAGGACCTCATGGTCGACCACCAATGCCAGGACAGACATCTAATCCAGGACAGCCAACATACCCTCAGATGTCAACAGCAAACAGTTTGTCTGGTCCTCCAACAACAGGCCTRTCAATGAACCCACCATCCTCTATGGGAGGTATGATGCCTGGTATGCAACAGCCTGGTATGATGCCACCATCATTTCCTGGAGCTCCACAGGTTGGTACTTTCCAGGAAGAGAATGTTTTAGAAATTCTATGTGTTTGGTAGTTACATGTACAAAAATGTCATCAACAGTGTCATAAAATCATTCATTCATTCATTCATTCATTCATTCATCCATTCTGATCCCAGTCATTTGTGAAAATTGGGAAACCTTTAGCATCCCTAAGATGGTAGCTCTTCTTCTGTGTACAGTATCTGCCCTGTGTCTCATGCTTGGAGTCAGTCCTTACAGAGCTGCTTGCCAAACAAATATATGGATATTATTTTAATATATTTTTTTTAATCACAAACATCACTCTGACTACATTGGGAGCATGATTTTATGATACAATATTATTTCATGCCAATGATTAAACTTTTTATTATATAATATATTTTTCATTGCATGGATTGTATACCGCATGTATAATAAATATGATGCATTCTTCGTTCTTAGTCTGGTTACCCAGGTACTGGACCGACTATGTCTGGACCAAGACCACCCATGGGAGGCATGTCAGGGCCTGGTGCCATGCAACAGCAAAAGAGAATTGATCCTGATCAAATGCCTAGCCCTGTAAGTATTGCATTATCCCTATTAAATTGCCACAGTTCTTCAATAAAATGCTCTCTTTTGCTCTCTAGATACAAGTGATGAAAGATGACCAGGAAACTCATAAAGAGGGTCCATTCCTCACCAATACTAGAGGGAGAATTCCTCCTCTTGTCACCAGCAAGTGTATCATTAAAGATGATGGTAAGAAAACCTAAAATCACATAAACAATACTTGTTTGCACCAGTCAACTAGAGCATCTTCAATAGCTTTTATGGCTAGGGATTAGAATAAGTATTAGTCAGCACAACTTTTGGCTACAACTATC